TTTAGATAGCAAACCCTAAAAGAGATCATCCTCTTCTTAACCCCTTACAAAAAAAGCAAGAAAACTTGTAGCTCTACACAGCTCATAATCTCCAAAGAACGTTTAAAAAATTTCATTAGTGTTATTCTCACAACATTCAACATTGCATGCTCACGAATAAGCAATTGGAAAGTGTAGTAGAATTTTAGTGTCCTGACATCTTCTGAAAATTTTAATGCAGGGGGAATCATCATTTTATGCTTATGTGGGTCTACTTTTCTGAGGATCAGTTCCCAGCTTCTCCCCTACTTTCACTAAGATGCTCCAGGAAAGAGTTCCTAAGAATTTAAGACTGTGCTTTCATTGGTTACAACCTTAAAAGGAGAGGCAGTTTGGGGTAGTAGATAGAGAGCTGGCTTTGGGTCAGGAAGACCTGGGTTCAAGTCTTGCCTTGGACTCACAGTTGCTGTATGAGCATGGACAAGTTGCTCAACTTCTCAGTGCCCTAGGAAACTCTCCAGGATGCTAAGTTTGGAAAGAGTTGCTGATCTGCACTGAGGTAGAAAGCTTCCGCACTGGAAGTTCTCTACTTTGATGAAACTGGTGGTCCTGAACATACAAATTATATGAGAAAAGACTTCAAAATCTACCCTATGACAGCAGTTACATGATGCAATGCATCTGGATGCTTAGAAACAACCAGTATGATTGACCAAGTTTTAAAAGTTTTCATCTAGAGGTTTGGCATCTTATGAAACATTGTGTGTGTGTGTGTTGTTGTTGTTGTTGTTGTTGTTGTCTTAGAGAATTTAAAGGGGAATTGAGACTCACAATTCCAGACCATGCTGTTCAAAACACAATACTAATACATCACATCTATTACAGAGTAGTTATTATGATGAAATGAACACTTAATTGGATCTACTTAAATCTTTGACCTGAAAAGAGTTAATAAATACGTTTGGCGCAGAGCAATATATTTGCTCCACATCCATCAAAACAATACCCAGCTCGTATTTGTTTCATTCTTACTACCTGAATGCTTTCAGGAACAATTAAATAAAGGTATAAAACTACCCTTGATATATTCACCGCAAATTAGATATTATCCCTGTTTTATGTACCCCAAACTGACTGAGATAGTATGTGTTACTACCTGCATTGTCTAAAATTGTCAACTTTCTTAAAAAAAAAACATAACCAACAACAAAAACCAACCAACAAACAATGCTTTGGGAATTTTCTTAGACTACATGCTTATAACATTTGTTGTTTAACACATACAAAACCACAAATCCAGAGCATGCATATTCATGGCCTTAAAGTAGAGTGCTTAGAGTACAAAGGCCAAGAAAAAACATCATTAAAAAGCATACTTCACCCAACCACCCTCCACCCCTACATATTTTCTGTTGTAAATACAAAACATGTATCTACAAAAAAGTGCACTATTTCTAAAAATGCAGGTATAGAGTTTTCCTTTGGTAGGGGCAAAAGCTATTTAGTCCCTCTATCAACTTTCTCCTCTCAGCTTAATTCTTCCTTCTTAATTCCCCAAATCTGACTGTCTGTGTTTGTGGCCACTGAAGGGGCTAGCTACTGGGTCCCACCCTTGGTTTAGCAGTCTGGTTGAGGGGGCCAAGCTCGGAAATTAAAGCATTGTGTTCTTCAGAAAACAAGGAGCTAGATTTTGCTTTGTTTTCTGTTCTCCTGTTTCACTCTTTAGGGTTTTCTCAAGGATTTGCTTAGGAGAAAAAAACAAGATTTATAGGGGCCAATGTGTGTCTCTTTTTGTCTGCAGTTACTGAATTGCTTCTCTTGTGGACCTGGCCATTTAAGGAGGCAAGTCCCCCAACAATCTTATCTGGAAATTTTCTCTGTAGCAATATTCTCAGTTTTAGGAGCTGAAAAGGGTCTGCCCTCCCCCATTCCCAAACAAATTAAGAAGATGACTACAACGTACTAACATTGTGTGAGCCTAGTGAGCTTGCTTATTAATTAGATTGTTCCTCAGGCTGCATGTGAGAGAGAGGCTCACATTTTGGTTGCAATTTTTGTGGTTAATTTTTCAAGTTTCCTGGGAAGGTGTGTTCAATCATTTTTTTTTCAGATGTGAAAATTAAACTTTTCATTTTTACTTTGTGTGACCCCTGTAGGATAGCATTGTTAGCATGGGAATGTGGGAAATGGATATTCCCACTAAACTTTTCCATTGAGTGATTTAGCACATGAATATGGTTTTTGATGATTTTATAGTGGCAGCAGATACATTTAGACAAAAACAAGCTCTATATCAAGCATCTACCCTCCGGAGCAAAAGAACAGCTTCTTCAAAGTGTAATAACCAATATATGGATTCTTCTAATATAGCTTATATAAATACCAACCAAGAGACCTGTAACTGGAGGTTGGGGGTATGATAGAGCTCTTCTCCAGGACATTGAAATTTAGAGGGCACTTGTTCATAATCTAGAAATAACTTAGTTTAGCACCTAATTAGTAAGATTAATTAGTTAAAATAGGAAGCTAATAGATGGTAAGCTTCCTTTCTATGGCCACAGAACCCCAGCCTGCCCCTGCCTTCCTTTCCCTCCCATCTCCAGCCTTCTCAGTAGCTGCTCCATGGTGTTTTTGGGTCCCTTCTCATTTCTAATGGGTTTCAACTTTAAAAGTTGGTCTGAAGGCATGTTCCATGCTGCAGCTTGCTTGGGGCAGTGAAAATGATAATTACACCTCTGACAACAAGTGAAACTGAAATACCTAAAGTACTTACACATTACTTCTAAGATTCACGAATGTCACAATGATGTCATTTATGGCAAACACTCAGAATAAAGGTAATAGGGTTGCTATGGGGATGGAATATTTCTTAAAACAAGTCACATATTGCTGCTGTGGGATAATGGCTATTTCACAGATAAAGCTCTAAAAAGTCTTGCTAGACCCCATTTAGATGGGTACTGGTAGACCAGTAGCATAAACACTTAAATCAAACCTTGTTCATTTTTTCCCCCAACTATTTTTTTCCACAATTGAGCTACATTGAATTTTAGGTGAGGAACAGGTTGTATGTTGAAGTTGGCCCAGGAATTCATCCTGAGCTCTTCAAATCCTAGGGAAATTTTTCCTCCAGATCTACATCAGTTGCGAATATGGCTTTTTATAATGATGGTCTCAAAGTCTTTTTTTTTTTTTAAAACAAAAATAAAAACAAAAACAAAACAAAACAAAACAAAAAAACAGTTTTAGGGAGATATTACCATGAATCATGTCATGACTAAACACTGGCAAAATAAAATGAATTGTACTATTTGAACACAGTAAAACTTCTAAATCTTATCAATGTTAGAACATCATTTCCAATTTGCATAGCCACACAAATGGAGTGCAGTGTTAAACGTACTGTCATGTAACAGTAAAGTTTAGAAGATGATGAGCATAAAGTTCCTTTATCATTTAAAGGTCTCCAATCAACTATACTGTTCACTTCTGCATTCTGCCACAGTTACCACCATCTTGTTTATTTAGGGCAGCTAATTATATACATCTATTTCTGGGTAAATCAATACAGAAGGCAGTTGCAGATGTGCATATTTGTCCATATGATGAGTATGACAACTTTTGCTAGTTGGTGCCAAACTAGTTAATGCCAAATGGATCCTGATCTGGATAGAAAGTAATGTGTTGTGCTTTATGAAGACTAAAGATCAAAGAAGTTTATTGTACACTATCTGTCCAAAGAAAACCAATCTCAAATAATCAAGTGCAAATGTGCAACACAGTCAATAAATGCATTAGCTCTGTGAACAGGTTTCCTGCTATGATTAAAAATAAGTGGTTTCTCTTTTTGTGTGTTATGTTTTAAAAAATAGGCCTCATACTCTTATTTACTAGTATTGGCCACTGTTTGACAAAGACATTCAATCAGTTTGTAATATGCCATTACATTTCATACCAGAATGTGTACAGGGTATGGGGGTGCCGTGGAGAGAGGGAGGGGGCAGAGAGAGACTGTCCTGAAAGAATTAGAAGTGATCAGTGCTTAAAGTAAATACAAGAATCAGCATGGGGAAGGTCCACAGTTTCAATAAATACAAGTGTAACAAGCATAGGTGTTTCTCAACTTGGTGGAATTTTTCTGCATATTAATACAGTATCATACAAAATAGCAGGGCTATTAAGAGCAGTGATTGGCAAAAACTTTCACAATAACTTATGCTCATGAGCGAGTCTTCATTGAACACATTCTGCATTTTAAAAAGTGCCATCTCTCTGTTCCTCTCGTCCTCCCTCTGACCCTCCACGGAGAGGTGAGTCAGCTTGGCAGTGTTCTGTTAGGAAAGTTCTCCCATTAGTAATCTGGCTGGGTCCAGTGTACTCATTACTGAGTGGCAAATTGCGACTTCATCGACAACGTCTGTGCAAAGTATGCTTCTTTCTTTTCAAAGAAACCAGTGTCTCTAACTCATTTACAAAAGGCTGAAGCCTTTTGTTTCTATCTGGGTCACCCTGAATACAATTCTAACAAGAGGAAATCACAAGTTAGGTAGGGGAGCTTATGACACAGACTCTACCTGGTACCTTGTGGATGCTGTGAGCCAGGGCTCCCCTCATCAAAGGCTCAGGCAGGCTGGAACTATTGCTTGGAAAACTAGAAATATCCTAATAATAAATTGATGGCCATAATGGACACCAGAAAAGTGTTTTCTTCCCTCCAATGTGGTTTCCCTTTTGTGTTTCCTATAAGACTTTAAAGAGATGTCTAATTCCGAGTAAAAAGTCATTCTCTGTTGCCTCATCAATTCCTTTTAATAAACAGTAAAGCCACTCATACTCCAAAGTACCTTGAGGTTCAGTTCCCATAAAACACTGCACTTATGACCTTTGGATTACTGATTGTAATCTAAAATGCAGGAGGAAAAGACGTAAGAGAGGCTCTCTGGAAAAAGGAAAAAAAAAAAGGAACAAAACAACCCCAAATCCAGAATCCCATAATTATCCTCAGAAAAACACCCTATACAATCAGTGTAGCCTCTTCTTCTCTATTTTACCCACAATCTCAAGTCATAAATTAGATTAGTCTTCCATCAAATAACTTAAAAAAAGAGGAGGAATTGGAGCAAGTTCTGTCTGGCTCAGAGCCAGGTAGCAGCCAGTGCTTCTAGGATCCCAGTCACTGTTCAGAGAGATAGAGATTGAAAAATCATATGAATGTGGAGAGTCTTCACATCGACACACATCAGGTTTTCCTGATGGGGGTGAACAGGGCGGAGGTTGGGAGTGAGAAAGAGGAAAAATGGAGGGCTAGCCAGAGAGGAGAACAGCGAGCAGGATAGACCGTACTTCACGGCCCGTCGGAAGCACCCCGTGCTCTTGTGGGGGTGCCGGCCATGTTGAGTATTGCACAGAAAAAAGAAGGAAATGGCACCTCAGCCTTGCCAGGTGGATCAGTGCTCCCTGCACATGGGCAAGTTCACAAAGGTGAAAACGTTGAATTCGGTCATGATGGAGAAACACAAGAAGATGCCATAAAGGAAAAGGCACACGAACCCCAGCTTCTTGTCCAGCTTCCACTTGTTCATGTGGACACCAAATACCTGCAAACAGACACACATCACTGGCTTTGGCGTGGGGAAGACATGGGGTCTGCCTGAAGGGCCTTGGGTGGAATCAGCACAAATCTACTTTGAAAATCCACTCTTGGATCATGAATGATAAGATGACCAAAGACTTACAAATCACATATAATAACCAAAGACTGGAATGACGTTGGAAGCATCATACCCATTGTGATGATCTGGGAAAACGATGATTAATTTGCCATTGAAACAAGAGGAAAGGCTCAGAATCTTTATCTGAACTCTAGTTTTAGGCAACAAATTAATAAGTATATTGAGCATAGTGGGTACCCCAATAAATATTTTCTGAGCTGGATGTTTATTACATTTGATAAAAATAGCAACTTTCACAGACTTAGTAAAGATATAGTACAACTTTCTAACTTTACGGTACCAATCATTGAAGTTTATAGTGTTGACTTCAGGCTCCTACGATATCCTGAAGTACCTTCTGAATCTTCAAGGGAAGGCTGAATTATTTTTAGTATCAGTTTAGCATATATGTTAAGCATACTGATTGCATTCTAATTCTTTAAGAATTGGTCATTGGTATGTGCAATATGCAATTGCTCTCAGTTAACCAGAATATTCTGCTAACTGAAGAATACCACCTCCCAGCATTTCTAGACATGTAGGAATGTGCTGTCTTAGATTTTGGTGGATTATTCGCCTATTTTCTTGATAAAGCTGTATGTGCCTGACATGAGACAAGACCGCTTCCCTCTAGGAGGCCTGGCTTTATTTCAGGCAAGGATAAAAGAGTATAGTGTGTTGCCAGGGCCTACTTCCAGGAAAGAATGGAAGCTGGCTGGGTCTTGAATAAGATTCCACCGAGGCACCATGAAGCACAAGACCATCAGGAAAATGCTCTCAGCAGAAGGCATCCAAACAAATATAGGCATGAAAGGGTCAAGGGGAAGATGAAGAGAAACGGTCCATAGAGATGAAAATACTAACTGGAAAGCTGTGTACATACCGTGACAAAAACCGAGGCCAAGAGCAAGCCAACAGAGTAGATCAGTCCCCTGCTATTCAGTCGAATCTGTAAGGAAGGAATTTCAAACTGAATCATGGTTTTATAAAAGCCATTTTCCCTTTCCTTGGCATACCATCAACTTTAAAATAGCATTTGTCTGTAAGAATCCTCCTAAAACAAAGAAAAATGAATGGTCTTTATGCCTCTCCCAACACCCTCCTGCAGTCAGCCTTGACAAAGAGAAGAAAGATTAACCAAAAGATTTAATTAACCAGAATTCTCTTCTGTGCTCTATTCAATGACTTCTCTTCTGTATTTCCCTAGAGTGCTTATTAGCACAGTCCTGGGCACAAAATTAGATGCTCAATCAATACTGTTGGTCTATTGATGACTTGTATGATATTCAGTGATGTTCAGAAAATGACTCTGCAGAACTGAAAGGTGTTCAATCATTACAGAAAGATTCAAATGTCCTATTTACTAAGCCAGTATAGTGGAAATTTTAGAAAGATCTTCAACAGTGAGTTTTTGGTTAGCCCTCAGATAACTCAATAAATGTTAAGTTCTTGTGAAATAAAAGGTGAAATGGTATGGGAGAAAGGGGCCTGGCCTTGCCATTAGGAAGACTTAGGCCTTAGTCTTTCCTCCTGACAGTTGTGTGATCGCCAGCAGCATCTCAGTGCCTCAGGCAATATTTTAGGACTATCAGTTACAGATGAGTTGTAGATCTGCATGGATGGAGGGAATTCCTACACTTAGAGTTCTTCATCTTGGTATAATCATAGGCCTGGACCACTTCCCCCACCCTTGCCAAAATTTTTTTTTACATGGCACTATGCTGGGTGCTGAAGATAAAAAAATAAAATTGAAATGGTTTCTGTTTTCAGGGATTTATAGGTAAGTAAATAGAAAATTATATGAGGTAATTCCAAGAAGGAGGAAGCCTTAACATGAGGCTTCCGGGGCATGAGGAAATCTCTCCTGTAGGAGGCAGGATCTGAGATATGCGCTCAAGTCAGATCAAGTCAAGGCAGCTAGCATTAATTGAATAGCTGCTATGCACCAGGCACTCTGCTAAGTGCTGAGGATACAAAGAAAGGCCAAAAAAACAATTTTTAAAAAGCCAGTCTATGCTGTTAGAGAACTCTCACTCTGATGGGGGGGAGGAATAATATGCAAAATACTCACAAACAAAATATGGACAGGATAAATTGGAGAATAATCAACAGAAAGAAGACACTAAGATTAAGGAGGATTGGAAAAGACTTCTGGCAGAAGGTGGGACCTTGGCTGAGACTTGAAGGAATCCAGGGCAGCCAGAAGGCAGAGATGAGGAAAGGAGGGTATTCCAGGTTTAGGGTTCAGCCAATGAAAATGCTTGAACTTTGGAGATAAAGTGTCGTGTGTGAAGAAGAGCAAAGAGTTCAGTGTCTTTGGATTGTTGAATACTTGGAGTAAGATGGAAGAAGACCGGAAAAGTAGGAAGGGCTTTAAACCTAAACAGAGGATTTTCTATTTGATCCTAAACATAATAGGGAGCCATTGGAATTTATTGAATGGGGGAAGAGGTGTGATGTGATTAGATCTTCATTTTAGGAAGATCAATTTGACAGTTGAGTAGAGGGACGTATAAAAGGATTGTCTTGCCATAGTGAGGGCCAAGTTCAGATTATTCGGTGTAATTTGAAATGAACCCAATCAGCATGGTTTTAAGATTTTCTCCAGCTTTGTTCAGCAGCATGTGAGTAGTAGGAAAGGCAAGGGAGTAGTGAGTGTTATCCAAAGATGTGGTCTGACTGGGCAAGATGTTCAATGGGATGAAGGGGCAAAGGTTTCTAGAGAAGCAGACAGTGTAGAATTGAACTGGTTTAACCAAAGGGTCAAGATGGGGAAGGGAAGACAAGTGTAGTCAGTGCAAGGATGATTGCCTGGGAAAGAACTGAGGGGTGAAGAGACTGGAGGTCATAGTGAGGATAAAGAGTGAGATTTGGAGTTGTAACAGAGGGAGAGGCAGAATGACGAGATTACAAAGTTAAATAATATAACAAATACATTTATTAACATATTATGAATAAATATTTTGTATTGATAATGTATCAATTACTCTATTATGAATAAATATAATATAATAAATGATAATAAAAATAGAGGAATTTCAGAGTTCATGAATATGAATGTAGAATATTTATGGGTGATGGTAAGGTCAAGGGTTTGAGGGAGCTGGAATTTCTAAGAGGGGAAGTTGAGGAAGGAGTACATTCTGGAAATGAGCCCACTTGTGCAAAGGAAAGCTTTGGCCTGAGAGATGGAATAGAAAATACACAAACCATTGCTCTCTTTCCTTAAGAAATGTATTTTTTTCTCAATCAACAAGAACTGATTAAGCACATTCTATCATACTATTTGCTGGACACTATTAGGTTCTGGGGCTACAAAGACAAAAAACAAAACAATCCCTGACCTCAAGGTGCTTTCAAAATAAGAATTTATAAAATGTTCTCAGCATAAAATAGGGGAAAATTTTTTGTGGGAAGCCAATAGCAGCTAGGGTGATCAGGAAAGGCCTTGTATAGAAGGAGGCATTTCAGTTGAGGTTCTGAAGAAAACAGCTGGTTGATGTCAGAAGACAGAATAAGATTCAGATCTTATGATTCCCAGCCTGATGCTCTCTCTCCTATACCACCCACCTCCTTCAAAGGGTTAAATGAATCTCTTGATGCTGTTAAAGACAGTGTCCGAGAATAGAATGGCCCATTTCCAAAACTGGGTGGACTAATATCCCATTCTGAATTACTCAGTGGGGTTCACAGATGATGCAGATTCTACAGTTTAATAGAATATAAAAATTGGTGCTTAACTATAAACAGAGGATGAAGAAAGTCCTGAGGTTAGCTGGTGCAGCTCTGGCAATATTCACTGTTTTCCAACAGCTGGATTCCTTCTGGTTTTTAAGACTGCTGTTAATGACACAAGGATTTCCATTTGGAATCTGGCTAAAGACACCAGGGACTGAAATGTCAGCACAGGAAATGTGTTTCTCTACCAGACTTGGGCCAGCAGTCAATATTTTGGTTGTAATGTGGCTTTTTTGAAGGATGATAACCCAAAGCAAAGCAGAAAACTTTTGGTCCCTACCTCTACCATTAGGAGAAATGAAGATGTCTTATCCATGCTTGAGGTTGTGAGCTTCTGGAGGGATTGGGACTACCTTGTTCATTCTCCTCAGCCCTTAGCAAAGGGGCTTACATATGGTTAGAGCTCAAAAGAATGTTTGTTGTGCTGAAATAATTGATTTAGCCAGACCACAATGGTATCCCAGTGACCCGAGGTGATTTGTAATTCTTGGAGTCACTTGTGGTTGTTGTTCAGTTGTTCAGTTGTGTCTGACTCTTTGTGACCTTGTGTACCATACTATCCATGGAGTTTTCTTGGCAAGATACTGGAGTGGTTTGCCCTTTCCTTCTCCAGTGGACTAAGGCAAACAGAGGTTAAGTGACTTGCCCAGGATCACACAGCTAATAACTGTCTGAGGTCATATTTGAACTCAGGTCTTCCATAGTGCCTTTCACCTGCTATCATTTACATGCATGTATATATGTGAATGCACATACATATATATGTATATATACATACACACACGTATTTATATATACATACTTACCTACCCATATATATGAATATACATACACACATATATTTATATATACACACCTACCTACCTATACATATACATACATACACACACACACACACACACACACACACACATATATATATATATATATACAGCTCCTGGAAATGGAAAGCCAATCATGCCAGCACTGTAATCATCAATTATTTTAATACCATATCTGGAAAAAGCAACATGTTTTCTAAAGCAATCATAGGTCATAGATTCTTTATTTTATATATACAGCCTGCCTGAGCCCCAGGGAAATGAAATAACTTGCCATATGGCACATAGCTGTTTAATACTGTCCAGGTCTTACTCTTAGTCTAAAGTTCTTCCTATTAGAGCTTGCTGTTGTTTTGGTAAATAAGTTCCTAGATTAATAAAGGCTCAGAATCAGAGAATCTCTGGGATGAAAAGTACCTTCTGGTCCAACCTATGCCTAGCCAAGAACACTATCTATACTATCCCTGATGGGTGGTCATTCAGCTTGCCCTTTTAGAGACTTAGAGGCTGACCTCTTAGCATTAGAACCATGGAAAAGGTAATGAACAGTTATCTTTGCATCTGGCACTAGGAGCTCAGGACCCTTAAGATTAGGTACAGGTATAGTAAGTCGGCCTGTCAAAAAACGGTAACAAATACAAAGCAGGTGAGGAAGGCAAAGAACTATTCAAAGTTCCTGTATAGGCATAGCCTCAATTACTGCATCCTAGCTATTCAAGTCTTCCTGACTCTCTACTTAAGGTAAAGTCCTAACAGGAGACTTTTTTTGCCCTTGGAAAATCATGCAGCACATTGAATACATAAAGAAACATTCATTTTAGATACCAGTTTACACTTTTAAATTGGATCATTATTTTTAAGGGGTATTTTTAACTAAGATCCCTCTTCATCAGCAGAGACATTTCATTAGGAAACCAACAAATGGACCTAAGTCTGTACTTTAGTGATATGTGGAAAACTATTTAGTCTTCCCAAAGGGACCTAGTTGAAAATATGAAAAGTTCTTTTATGAGCTTGATGGCATATTTAAATCCATTGTAATAGCTTAGTTGATTTTCTTGCCTCAATTCTCTCTCCTCTTCAATCTATTCTCAACATAGCAGCAAAAGTGAGTATTCTTTATAAGCTCCTTGAAAGCAGAGATTGTTTTATTTTTGTCTAGTACCAGGCCTGGCATGTACTAGATACTTAATAGATGCTTGTGATTGATTGATTGAAAAAATAGTGATATTCTTTTTTTTTTTGCTTTTTAACGAGGCGATTGGGGTTAAGTGACTTGCCCAGGGTCACACAGCTAGTAAGTGTTAAGTGTCTGAGGCTGTATTTGAACTCAGGTCCTCCTGACTTCAAGACCAGAGCTCTATTTACTGCACCACCTAGCTGCCCCAAA